AAGTAGAATTTCAACTACAAACATACACGTGCATGAAGGTGCTTAAAAGTCTAATAATAATTTTGCTTTTTATTTTCTAACTAAAATTTATAAAATATTTTTTTAAATGCTGTCCTCTCAGGAGGCAATCATAGCTTTCCACAGATACCTTTCCTTTATAATCTGGGAATTGTCATACCATCTTGGGAAAGACAATGGAGTTGTTTCCTGTTGCCTTTTTCATGGCTTGGAATTCAGAGTTTTCATTCTTTTTGACTGGTTGTCACCCAAAGCTACCCTGCTATTTAACCCATAGATAGGGAAGAAGAGATGGATTCATGCATCAGTGTGAAAGTGAATGCAACAGGCTAGGCTGGAAATTTAAACTTAGCTTGATGTTTCCATTTCTGCACTGATAACTGTTACCCTACCTGAACATCCTAAATTTTAATTATAAGTAAAAAAAAAAAAAAAAATAATAATAAAAGAAACACCTCCATGAAAATTATCAAGAAATTGTCCAAATACAAGAACCAGGAGACCAAGATTAACAGGATTTGGGGACAAATACAGAGTGTACCTATAGTAATCGTAGATTTGGGCCTCATGAGAAAAGGAATGGATAATTTTACTAACAGTGTCTCAGATAACATCAACATAAAAGTTGCCCAGAAGATTGCCCTATTAGGAACATCCCATATACTAAGAAAAGTGCTATCAATTAAATGACAATTCTCCTATAAGGCCTAAGGACCATAGTTTTGTCCCGGCTCTACAGGATACAAAGCAGGAAACATAACATACACAAATGATAATAATAATAATGATGTAATCTATATGTTCATCAAATTAAACTTTTTAAATGAGGATTTTTAAAGCTATATATGAATTTGTGACATCTGGTACATGACACTTAATTCAGTTATAGCATAGATGTTATAATAAACTCTAGAATATTGTAAAACAGAACTTTGAAAAGAAATGAGTGATGAACTACTTTAGTGCATTAGCAAATGAGTAAGAGGTCAGGTAAAATAAAACACCTGATCAATGCACAACATTATTAAACATTCACCTGAAATACTGGCTGATGTCATTCCTTCTACCCAACAAATTTTAGGATTGTAGAAGACTTGCAATACATATACACATAAAATCAAAACCAACTCTTAAAAAGTAAATATTATACAGATATGGTTAACTATTTGCTTCACTCTGGTCCATTACAAAAGTGTTTTGAGTGGGAGCAGCTTTAAGTTAAAGGAGCCACAAGTAAAATTGGTTTATGCTAATGTATTTATGTGAATTCTAACAGTCTAACTGGGGTAACAGTAATTGCCAGATTGTAAAAAGTCATAAATAAAAGGAACCATTTCTTTTTTTATGAGTTACAATAAAAGATTTTTTCTGGACCAATATGTGCAGTGGAAAGTGAAATAGTGTCATGTGCTGAAAATGTCTTTGATGTATGCTTTATGTTATAAGAATTAGCACATTAAGCTCAATTTTAATGGTGGAGGGCATATGATTTTCCATTGGGTGGGGGAGTCCCTCTAGGACCCCCTTAGGGTCAGGCCTGGCTTCGCTGACTGACTTACTCGCATGATTTCACTCTACACAATGATGTAATTCTTGTCTCTCATTCTCTAGTCAGTTGCTCATACTGCAGTTAATCAAGCTAGAGAAAGACCAACTAGAAATCTCCAGAAAGTATATGGGGATGTTGTTAGTTAGCTTTAGATTATATACTGTTAGTGAGCATACAGGTAAGTGATTAGAGTATTAGTATTCTGATCATGAGACTCAGGTTCAAATCTCATCATGGTCAATTTGTCAAGGAGGTGATTTCTTGATAATATTGATCTAGGAAGACAATCCCAGCATGTGGCCCTGTTGGAAAGTGCCTGAAAATCATAACAACGTTGACCTAAGTCTTGTGAATGAAAATGGGTTGATGAAACTATTTAGAAGCCAATGATGGTTGTGTTATAACAAAGTCACAAGTCATTATAACCAATGATTTGGGTGTATTGGCTTTGTTCAACTGCTGATCAGTCTTCACTGTGCATTCTCCCCCACAAATTGTAACTAAAGTCCACTCAGCATAGTTGCAGTATAAATGACAGGTTGGCTCTGTACATGTTGAAGAAACACAAAATGTGCCTGAGCAGGCATCTGCAATAGGGGATTAGTTAGCTACCCTAGCAGATGAGCTTACTCAGAAAATGAGTAGGCAGTCATTATCTACTGTTATTTTGGATCAATAACAAAGAAAAAAGCTATTATGTTTAAATCATTTGCTTTATTTTTTTTTAGAACCCTCCTTGTTTATATGCTTTACAAATTTTCAATAATTATATATATATATATATATATATATATATATATATATATATATATATATATATATATATATCCAGGTAAAATGAGAACAAATGGAGTATGATTCCACTGAACATAACATTTAATCTAAAAGAGGGCTCAATACATAGTAGGGCTAAATATTTATTTTAAGATATTAAAATATATTAAAAAAAGAAAAACACTACACAATTACAATTGTTTCAACACTATAAATGTGTCTCTTTAGGCAATGAACATCACCTGAACAGACACATTTATGGTATTAAAACATAATTGTAATTGTGTAGTGATTTTTTATAACATGTTTTAATATCCTAAAATAAATAAATAAATTATATATATATATATATATATTTATATATATATATACATACACACACATTATAAAATGATTTATTTTATTATCATAAAATAATTTTCTTTTTATTTATGACTGCTGGTTATATAACCAAGTTAAGAATCTAAAGATATTTTTTTTACGTATACACAAAATTTTGAAACTTACTTAACAGGACAATAGCCTAGTGGATTAAAGTGTTGATTCATGAATTTGTTGACAGTAATTGTGAGTTCAATACTTGGGCTTCATTAATGCATAGACTCAGTGAAAACAATAACTGAGTGGTACTAAAATAAAAACTACACTGTGTGTGAAGTTATTAAGCAAATCATATAAACTTCAATAATGGAAATTTAGTTTGAAAAAAAAAATTGGCAAATTTTAAAAAAATCAATTTAGATGTCAAAACAAAGCCCGAGTTAAAATTTTAGGTAGTATCAATGTTTTACTGAAGTTATTTAATGTATTTTCAAAAACTGCCATCTGAAGTTATAAGGCAAAACTACATAATCCCATTTTACTTCAATAAAAAGGTAATAAAATCATTAAAAATTAATCAACGCTTATAAAATAGAGCAAATAACAAACACATGATAAGTCTTTGAATCCTTTACATCTTAATATAGTGATCCTTCTTGTCAAGAAGGGTCACTAATCTATTATCCATTGATTTTGTTAATTTTTTTTTTTTACTTCATCAGGTTCAACTTCTGACATGGTAGTTTTAATTGCTTTCCATAGATCTGTTATATTGTTTGCCTCCTTCATACAATTTCACCTTCACAATTGACCATAGATTTTCTATTGGACTCAGATCAAGACTTCATGGTGACCATTCCATTATCTTCTTTCCTGTAAATCTTTTATGCTCAAAGAATTCACTGGTAAGCTTAGATATATGAAAAGGAGAATTGTCATGCATAGATACAAACTTCACTTTGAAACTGTGAGACTTGTCCAATGCAAAGAATGTCTTGTTCATAAAATCGCAATAGTTAGCCCTGTTCAGTTTAACTCCTTCGACTTTGAATGGTCTAATTATGGTTTGGTCGACAATTTCAGCCCATATCATAACACTACTGCCTCCATCTTTTAAGCACAGATATGTCTGAATTGAATAAAATCCATCCTTTGGCCCATCCATCAGGTCCATCAAATGTCACTTGTGATTTATTCATAAAAATTGCTTAAGAAAAGTCAATTTTCATGTATTTTCATATATTCGCCCAATTTTGATGCTTTAAAATATTTGCTTTAGTGAGAGGAATTTGCCTAGGAGATTTTTTTTACAGATTCCAATTTACAAAGTATTCTACACCTTTTGTCCTTCTTGACTCTCTTAATTACAGCCTTTTCAAAGATCCAAGTGCCAGTCAAAAGTGGTTCTTTCACTATAACACACTTTAGTTTACGTTCATCTCGAGGAAGCAAGTTCTTAAAGCCTTTTCCTTTAAGTTCTCAACTCATATTTTCAACAGCCTTCTTTATCAGTTGATGATTTCTACAAAGCTCCTTTGATATTTCCAATGTGGATATTCCCTCACTCAGTAAATTTGTTATTTTCAGTTGTTAAATCTTTCCCTTTACCCATGTTTCAACATGTACTATAGACAAAAAGAAAAAACATTTTTATTAGGTTTCAGATGTCTTAAGCTAATATTAGCTTAATCTGCATACTCACTTTAGTCAGTCCATTTTCATAAATTCAAAATATCTCAAAAATTAAACATTAAAAATGGCAGAAAATTTAGTTAAATATTTTACTAAAGGTGGAAATGGACAAGTTTAAATTTGACAAATATTGGTTCAGAAATTTTTGAGTTATTGAGATTTATTTGATTTGCATAATAACTTCAGACAGGCTGTAGATGAGAAATCCCTAGATATGTTCAACAGAATGAGGAAAAGATTAGGACAATAATCCAAGTGTAAATAAAATGATAACTCCTCATCCCACAAATTCAGACAGAAATTAATCTTAATTGTTTTTTGATAGAACATCTGGTCTTGATATATGCAATTAAAAAATAAAAAGAAATAAACATTTTTTATGAATAGTAATGCTTGAATAATAAATGTACATTTTTATTGAACATTATGCTGCTTTTGTTCATTGATTCTTATGATGAGATTGCTCACAGAAAGTTGGTAACAGACTATATACATCTGTTTGAGCGGATAAATGACAAAAATAATGGCTGCATTAATTCAAATTTTTATATAAAATATTGAAAAAGAAAAAAACCAACAAAGTTACAAATTCAGTCAGAATTAACAAAAACTTTGTACAGTGATATATTTCCTCATAAATAATGAATCAAGTTAGTTCCTCAATGAGAATTTTCTTTTTTGCAGGTCTTTTTCCACCCCACATCTTCTCAAATTGATGCTTTGTATTGTTGATGCTTGCCATCTCACTGCTTAAGGCACCTGCAAAGAAAAAGAACGTTTCAGTAAAAGAATAAAATTAAAAGTAATTAATGTTTAAAAATGTTTACCAAAATAAGTTAAAAAAATCAATAAATGATTTCTGAGTGACTTTAATCCATTACATTTTGGATGTGCAAATTAAACTCAGTAATTCATGAATTTCTAAACTAAAGGTTTTGTTACCAAAATCTATATTCAACCAACTGATGAATCTCTTTGAAATACTTTTTTGCCAGACTGATTGAAGTTTTTTTTTTTACTTCTTAGATCAAATAAAGTATTTAAAAATAAAAAAAAGGTCAAATCAGAAGCAAACATTGAATGATAGCATGAATAGTGGGGATTCATGCCTTTCTTAAAGACATTTGAATAAAATAAATTAGTAGTCAATCCAGTTGCTGAAACCATACTGTCATGCCAACTTGCTGACCTTATATAACCACCTGAAATTAATCTGTATATTCAATATATTTTTACAGTTTTGCAGCAGTCTATTAGCCAATCCTGTAAAAGGATAAGTGTGTGACTTGTCACTTATTGCAATCAGAAAGCATTCCAGTATTTTAATTTGGGAAAAATAAACATTTATTGTACATTTCTAATATATAACTTGCAGATGTTTTTCCCATCTAAAAAGTGGTTTTAGTTTCAAATAATTAATATCAAATTAACACACAAACACTGATAATTATAATTAATATTTTGATGCCAATTCACATCAGCTTCAGAACCTTATAAGATGTGAATAAATACCAAAGCACTAATAAAATCACCCGATACTCTTACTTGTTAATTAAACATGCAGGTTGGTTTCACTGAGTTCACTTAATTCTTTATACATTAACACTGTCTGCCACACAAATATTTTTTTTATATACCATATATATTCATGATACACATGTGACTTTTAAAGACCTAATTTTGAAGCTAATTTTAATAGGGTCACATCATATACAAAATATAAAATTAGCATATGTACTGCTGGCCCTGGCTACACCATTGACCTAACTATATATCCATTTACTGCAGTCAAATTAGCTTCAAAATTAGGTCTTCAAAGGTTGCATAATATGTGAGTATAGACAGTAATTTACTTAATAAATTTTACAATTTGAAGAAGAATTAAATTGGAACAAGTATATTTAACATCCAACTAGAAAATACTTCTGTTTAAGAGAGTAAGATTTTTGTTAATTCTTACAAATTTAAAATACAATAGAAACAACTTGAATAAATTAATTAAAAGTTTTATATTATCTTCAAAGAAATTAAACATGTTAATAAAAATATAAAATAGCAATGAACAATTTGTTTTTGGTTTGCCTTTAATGAAAAATTCTGATTTAAAGAAAAAAGATTTAAGAAAGTATAAGTTGGATTAAAATGGTTTATAAGATCACCATGAATTTCATATTTAGGATATTTAATTCTAGTGTAACCAAGTAGGAAAAAAAATTAGCCAAGAGAGGGTGAGAGAATATAACTTGTTCACTATCAGTTGTTCATTGTCTTAACAAAAAAAACATTTCACCCACAAAGAGCCTATATTAGGTAGTTCCTGTATTTTTGCCTCAAATTTAAATTAATTCATTCCAACATTATTTAATAAAGACATTTTTGCTTTTACAGTAAACAAATTCATTTTGTAGTAAATAATACAAATGGAACAAATACAGCAAAAACTGTAAAAATGGTAAAACAAATTTAAGATAGACTATTCTGAAAATACAAATTCAATGTACTTTATTTTCTACTTACAAAATTCCAAATTTAACTCATCCAAACTATCTTGCAAATCAACTCCATATGATTTGCACCAGCTGAGAAGAAACTGGACTTTCTTTTCAATTCGGAAAAAACTTTTCTTTTTTGTCTTTAAAGCAGAAACCAATTTCTCATTATTCTTTGCTTTCTTCAAGTCTAAAACAAACAAAAAACAAACAAAAAAACAAGATGTATATGCATTTGTTTCACAAGTTTCATCATTTGAAAACTAATTTTTGTTACATTTTCTTTGTTATAAGGATCTTCTGTGGTGATAGAAAAATAAATAAATAAAAAATTTCACCATCTCTAAAAACAGAAATAGATGGATAATAAAAGTCCATAGGCAAACAAGACCACAGTTTGACCAACCAATCAGAAAGCTTTCACAACCAGGTTGTAAGAAAAGAAATAAACAAATAATAATGAGACCAAAATTTCACCATCTCTAAAAATAGATAATTGGACCAACCAATAAGAAAGCTTTCTCAATCAGGATATAACACAAGTCAACAAGAAGCAAGCAGCCTTTTCAAAGCAGATCTAAATTTTTCAAGATAAAAAATTAACCCTAATTAGGGTCAATAAATTAACTTTGTCCATTTTCTGATGCTACGGTTATCATAACATATGCAGAGATAAAATAGATTTGCATGACTAGCTGGTGACCTTAAATGACTAACCCAACCTAGCTACGTTGTAAACAAAGATATCTTCCTTCCCCACTTGGTCAAGTGGCAGCTACTACATTTGGATGCATACATCTGTATCTTCTATACATATATAATTACATTCTTTCACCCATTCTCTTCTGTATGTGTCCACAAACATAACTATTGTACTCCATAAGAATTTTATGTTTTTATCTTTCCATACTTAATACAAAATGTCAAGTTTGTATGAGGCTTAAAATAAGTTTCAAACTGTGATGAACAATAATAATCTAATTTTTGGTTCAGGAAAATGATGTTTCATTATAAATTCCCTGCTGGTTTCTTAAATAAGTGGTAAAAAAGATAGTTTTTCCAAGCAATGAAGATAAAAAAACAACATTTTTATAGGTTTTTTTTGCAAAGTTTACTTTTGTGCTAACAATGAGAATAAGATTAGGTTTTAGTTGCTTATTACAGATCTAAACTGAGATCCAATCTCTTCAGCCTTAAATTATTAAAAAGTCAAAAATAATTATAAAGAGTTCTTGAATATAAAGTATATAAATATGATTAAAAAGAAATGGATTAAACACCATAAAACAGGGACAACATTTGTTACAGGGAATTTCATTTAAAGTTATGATAGTAAAAATAAGATTCTATACATTATATGACTAAAAAATTGCTTCTTGTTTAAACAAAAAGTTAAATACGTATCACTTTTCAAGGAAATAATATCTTTTAATCTTAGAAAACCTATATACAATATTGTATATAGGTTTTCTAAAATTAAAATTGGAACATCAATAAGTATGTAGCCTAAAGGAAGAAAAAAGCATTTTACATTATTACAATATTTTTAATGTAATTTTCTTCATAGCCAATGCACTTAAATCAATGATGAATATTAATGAATTATAATGAAAATTTTAGATGGATTTATTGATCCACTCTTGTAGAATATCAGTTAATTTCAATGTTAAACTTCCAACAATACTTTGCCTTTTGTATATGCCACAAAACCTTTACTGAGAGACATTGAACAAAAAGTTCAGAGGCTTTGGTAAATATATATAGGTTAACAATAACGTCTCCAACATTCAAATTTAATAAATGAGTAAAAAGTGACTTATAAATAAATTATATATTGAAAAAATTTTCTTACCTTTAGAGATTTCTTGTATGGCTTCTTGCCATAATCTAAGCAAATCTGAGAAAGCAGCCATGACATAGTTGACTGATGGAGTAGAGTTAGGGCCTTCAATGATTCTGATGACATCTTGAATGAGAAATAACTTGAATTTTGGGGAAATTTGAGATGAATTAGGATCCTGTTAGAAAAGCAAATAAGAATTAAACAGCTTCAGCTATTTTTTGTTTTGAGAAAATAATACGTAGTTACCCAATGCATGCATCATTATACATCCATTATTCTTAAAATACTTTATTAGTAGCAGTTTTATTTTTATTTTATTTCATTGTTTCTAAAACTAAAATTAGGAATAGGTAATAAAAAAGAAAAGTATTATATTCTTAATTATCAAATTCAAATTCTAAAATTAAATTTTAAAAATAAATATAACATTGTGTGTGCGTGTGTATCAACATATATTATTTCAAACTTTATTATAATGAGTATTTTGTATTTGAAATAAACATTGCATTTTTATTTACTAAACAGTGTTTATTCTGTCTAATTCCAGAAATTTTAGTAAAGAAAATGTGTCCTCCAGCAGGGATCAATTGAATCTGTGTCCCCTTCTGAAAAGGAAACCACTGTTTGATCTGGCATACTTTACCATTTAGCCAGAAAGAATATCACAATAAGCAAGGCTTTATATATATATTACACACACAAAAGGAAAATAAAATTGCAACATCTTGAAGAACAATGCTAATTTCTTGATATATGTAGAATGAGCATATTAATGGGTAATAGATATTTTGATAAAAGTATTCAACCATCTTGTAATGTAGTAAGTTTCATACCAGTGTAGAGTGTGTATATAAGTATTAAACAGTAATGTATACACTGTGCTATGATTCAGTGGTGGTGAAAGACTGGAAATACAGATATTCTAATTGTTTAAAGAGGTTGAATTGTGAACTTTTGATATGCTAGATAATCATTTTGGAGAACTGCTGTGTATGTTAGACATGACATGTTAGTGGTGTTTTGATGTTAGTAATAGTGGCCAAATAAGCATTTCCTACAACTATAGACTAAGTTCTGGATGGCCACATAGTACAGACACCCACTGTGATTGACACATTGTAAGAGCAACAATGACAGACCAGAGCAAATATGACCCCAGGAATGTTTATTTGCAGCAGAACTATGGGTGTATACATGTATGCACAACCACGTGCACACAAACACACAGGTACATCAATAAGTCCATTGCCTAATGATGAAAAAGGGCATTACTTTAAAAAAAAAAACAACATATATTTTTCAACATAGTACACTTAAACCCAACACCTTCGTAGAACAAACATTATACAGTGAACATTTCAGATTAAAATTCAGCTAAGAGTATCTGCTAAAAATAATATTTTACGTGATATAGGATGATCCAATAAAGTGCTTATTAATCAATATACTATGTTTATTACTGGGAATTTGATTTCATAATTTTATGTTCAAAGATAACAAATAAGAAAAGTTGCTGAAAGCATTCTTGATCCAACCAAGAACCTTTTGTAGATGAAAAAACTTAACTTCCTTTATGCTTAAATCAAATGTTTAAAATACATTAACATTTGTATATATATATTTGAATATATCAAAATATTTATTGCAAAATTTGTTCAGCTTATGTGAAATCAAATTTTCATTTTATCATTACAAAATAATCAATTTTTCAATTTATCGTTATAAAATGATGAGCTGATAATCTAAAACCCTTTGTGTGGTCAATTGTAATAGAAAATATCACTGATCACTTAACATTTATTATGACTTTTTAAAAATTACTCATACACAATAAATGTTTTAAACAAAGTGAAAACAAGACAAAAGAAAATAATATTTCCCTGCAACTTTGAGGTTTTGGAAATGAAAAACAGACATTGGTTGATTCTTACCCCATCAGCCTTATGAAGACAGGATTGGATTGCTTCACTAACAGAACTGTGGGTCTGAGTTGTTCTCAGTGCATTACATAATTCTAAAAGTTCCTATAAGAAAATAAGAAGTCAAAAGTTATCAGCTTTCACAAATTGGTTCAAAGGAATTCATAAACTGATATACCGTCTGATAATGAACACATCAACTGAAACATAATAGAAATGAAAAAGAAGATGGAAGCCAACATTAATGTCAATGGTACATTTTTGTTTTAGATGATAAATCACTAGTAATTAAAAAAAAAAACAAAAGGATCAGTTAAAGTAAAACATTAATATAACATTAGTCCAATTATAACTATCATTTGTTGTATTTCTCTTCCATAGATATAAAATTGACTCCATTGATAAAATCATTATTAGTCAAATGCTGTCACTTCTAGGGATTAAATGTGTAATGTAGAAGTTTATTCATTTTGTTATTTAATTACCTGTTAGACCGACTGTAAATAATTAGAAGAATTACAACATATTTCTGAAAATCAATATGTACCTTCATGCTGCTAATAACTGATTATATTTTTTTGCTTTTAAAATAAACTAGTTCTTCACTTTCTATACATTCAATGTAAAAACAAAATCCAAAGAAAATAATTTAAACAAAATGATAATGTTAGAAACACATTATCATGTAAACACTGGATAAGATTATCATTTTTGTCATCAAAATTCTAATTGAATTCTCTTGGATAATCTTCAAACAACATTGATTCTTTCAGGTTAATGACTTATAACTCAAAGTTAATGTGTAGTGGGACAGGCAAGGCACATAAAGCAAATGTGTAGTATATCAGAAGGCACGGTGGAGTAATGAATAGCAGCTCAAATTGAGGAATCAGAGAGCCGAGTTTGAATTCCAGTCAAATCCATTACATTCACTTACATGCTAATAACCTTGCGAAAGGTATGAATCCTCTTCTTCTCCTCCCAGCTATAGGTAAATAGCAGGACAGATTGCTATCAGATCAGATTGGATGGCAACTGGTCTACCGCAGAAAGAAACGACAAACTACTGTTGGAAAAATCTGCCTCATCAGTCATGTATCAAAAGATACATGATTGCCTAATCATGTATCACGCATGGCACATAACTGACTATAGCATATCAGATACTCTTAAGATTAAGGATAAGTGATTGAATTGTTTTGTTCCTGGCTGTCAGCTCCTAATTTTATTTTATAACAATGTTGTGAGCTACAGAACTGTAATGAGAGAAATTCCCATCATCAGATAGGTTTGGTTTGTTTTGTTTTATGGCATATCAACCTCAATGGGTCAATTAATGCTGACAACATTTTTTTTTCCCCCCTGGTAATATTTTTGTTTTGTCAAAAATCTATTTCTGCTAATATTTTTTTCCTCAAAAATGTATAGCTGGTAATATTATTTTTTCAAAAACGTATTGCTGGTAATAGTTTTTTTTCTTCAAAAATTTATTTCTGGTAATAATTTTTTACAAAGTATTTCTGGTATTAAAACCTATTTTTACACTTTTATAATGCTTTTTACCTCAGTTTCAAGGTTAACTATTTGCCCATAGCTGGGACCCTAACAGGTGCTACAACCACAGGTTAGGGCAGACCTGGGAACATCAGCAATTAAGAGGTGGTTCTACGTTCCTAAAAGCCTCCAGATCAGAGGCCTTGCTGTTGGACGTAGTTTATCCTGGATGCGGATGTAGTTTATCGTCATACCCAGGATGGATCATCAGATAGATTAAGATATTGCATTTGTCTTTGTTCAAGGAGACCAAAATATGAAGTGTTTAGTATAAAATGGAAGTTTTTGAATCATTTAAAATGTTCATTTTCCTACCTTAGCACTATCAGTTGGTGTGCTTAGATGATCCCCATTATGAAGACGACATATATAGGTATAAGCATAAAGAACACTGACCACTGTATATTTTATATTTACTGATGGTTGACAATTCTGTAAAAAGAGAAAAAAAAAAAAGAAGCAAATATAAAATAGAAACATCAATGTTATTGAAAAAGGGAAAAAGAGCCTAAAAGTTAATGCCAATAATTTTATAGTTGTGCTAAAGGTTACTAATTATACTTTTAAAGGTTATCAATTAAAAATAATATTAATTAACAGATAATTTCCACTGAACAATATAGTTTGCAAATATGTATTTATCAAGATAGTTGTGAAGATGTTGACTTTGTCAAAATTCAAAACCTCCTTATAATAATTTCTATTTTTTATTTTGGTCTGAATATAATCAAATAAATTAGAAACTATGGTATTGTGCTAGCGTTATATGTTTGCAAAAATAATCTGTTTACTTTAGATATCAGTATATGATTACTAAAATAGGACTGAGTAAAAAGATAGTGTAAATTCTTGCTAAGGAAAGAAATGAAAACTTCTGAAAGTGATTCAAAAGAGATCCACAGATATCCACTGAGTTTTCTTTCAGTAAATCATGACTTTAGTAGGATATTTCATCACATATTAATTTTGATATTAATTATGACAAAAAGCAGATAATTTTGAGAAAAAAACATTATTGGAATATCATTTTAGTACTAAATGTATTTGACATTCATTTTAGATTGATTTTGCATATATGAATAATGAAAACTTTAAAATTTATATAACAAGAGGAAAGTTTTTGCTTCAGTTGGTAAAGTCATTACATTCTAATAAGGGGTGTAATAATAGCACAAAAGTCAAACATAAATCACATCTGCCACTTGAATGAATTGTCTGTAATCCAATGGAATAAAACAAATCTTTAGTATTTAAACATGTCATATATTATTTTCAAGTGCATTTCCAATCAGCCATTTGGATGAAATCAAAAAGCAATATGGTGAATAGAGAATGAGCCAAAATTTCCATTTTTGTTAAGCAATGAAGGGGAGTCATCTTAAAGTTATAACAATGGCACAGGGGCTTTTAATTTCCCAAATGCCATCATATTGCTTCACAAGTGTTTTTTTTTTTTTTTAACTATGTGGATATGGGATATTTTACAAATATATAAATAATTCCAGCAGAATATGTTGGATTGCCAGGTCTCAATGATTTTTCATAATCTTGAAACAACAAAGTTTAAATTAGTTAAATAAAATATAATTTGAAAAAAGTGAAAAATGAGCTACAGGATCAACCATTAAAATAGCATTTCTGAACCACTGATTTGGGTGGTTCACTGAAATCAAGAATAACATTCAACCTGGATGATAAGTACTTAACAATGGCTGAAGTAAGCCCCTTAATGTCTGCAATATTATTTAAAATGAAAAAAATGATACCAACTAAAAGATACTCATGATCATTTGATCAAGAATTTATCTGCATGAGATGCCACTTATTAATTTAGTAGTGAATGAATGCAAAAGAAAACTTTTTAAAACTTACACGGAGGAGTTCAGAGATGTTAAGAATATTTTCTCTTATTGGTGGACTTTGAGGTGTGTTTTTCTCTACCTCTTCAATGTCTTTCACTTTTCTGTTGTCCTGAAAAACAAAATCGTCAAACCTAGAGTTAAAGGATTATGTGTGCCCAATAAACGTATTTGACTTATTTGAGCTAAAGTTAGCAAATATATTCTCTGTGCTTTTATCTTAAAAAGATTTTTAATGTAATAATTTTATTTTTCATATTGACTGAATATTATATTTTGAGATTAATTTAACTAAAACCTCAGTGATTATGACAGTAAACACTCAAAAATATTTGGAAAAAAACATTAGTTTTTTTTTTTTATTTGAGTGGAAAAAAACTCCCTGTAAGCATGTAAAATGAAAGTCAGTTTAAAGACTCTTCCATACAAACCTTATAATTCCACCAAGGAGTCCAAATTTCAATTATGCCACCAAGTTGACCATTTGATATCATCTTTTGAAATTCTTCTTTTTCGGATTTAGTCAGTTTTTCCCAAATTTTGTCTGTATCAGAGTCTGAAAATGGTGAAAGCTAAAATTGAATTAACTGAGCTTTTACTGATCATTTACTAAAGAATAATAATTGAAAGTGATATGTTGACATATTTAATTCTTGGGTGGATGTGAATGTACAAGGAAATGCTGATAGGTTCTCATCCTGACCAAGAAACTCTTCCCCAAAATTCTGATGTTTGGTCATATTTTGGAAAGTGGACTGAATCAAGACATTTTCAGCACCTCTTTGTATATGGAGTTTGATAAGAATTTAGAAAATAAAACAACCCATAATTTAAAAGTCAATTATAGTTTTATATTCTTTAAATAATTTAATGAATAAATAACAATATGACTAAAAGTTAAAAAGAAAAAAAGTGCACAACTTTGCATAACGATAACCAATTGATATACAATGTTTGTCCTAACAGGTGAAATCAAAATATCGTGTGTTGAGTGTCTTTTCCATGAAATTGGTTAATACAAAATGACTGTAGTTAGGCAAGGGAGAGAATTCTAATTATACACAGATAAAAATCCTGTCACAATGTGGTTCATTAGAGATCCTGGAAATTATTAAGAATTTGAATAAGGTTTTTATATACTCATCTTCTTTAGAACATTCATATATTTGACAATTTCAGAAACACAAATGATACAAATAATTTGTTGGTAAAGAAAAGAAAACTAGATTGTAGTTTGTTTCTTGTATTTGTAGTTGATATAATAGTACATAGTTTACGATAAAATTTCAGAAAAGATAGATAAAAAAAAGAGGGAACTGATTTTTATATATATATTAAAAATTAATAAAATTAATTGGTCATCATCATCAGTCCTATAACTGAGTGTTGTTGTAGGGTTGCTGCACAGCTGATCATCTGACCAGTTCTTTTCACATATCTGGATTGAAAGCTGGAGATGTATTCATTCATGTATGTCTTGGGCAAATAAACCTGGCAAAAGCTATCCCACTCTGACACAAACCACAAATGATGTCCTTTGACTTGAAGGCTTGCCTTGGCCATAGACACATGGTCATTGATTCCAACAAGGGAACTCTTCACCCTGGCTGTTGACTTCAGTCCAAATCTTCTGCGCAGCAATTCCATGTCATCATCTCACTGGCTATATACATAGCTATGAAGCTTAGTCTACCCCATTCTGCCAGATAACTGTTGACCCTATAAAGAAAATGCCTCTGCCCTTTGAAAGGTGTTGTTTTTAATCTAGCTGGGTGTCTAGACAATCTCCTCACTAGGAAAGCTTGGTGAGGAAACTAGTTTAGTTTCCAATGACCTGACCATATGGCAGATAGTATTGGGTTACATGGTACCAATAGCACTTGTAGAGTGACCTGACATAATAACTGGTATAGATAAAAAAAAAAAACGATAATAATAATGCTTCAGAACACTATTTTGCTCCCTCCTTCATAAGATTTTGGATAATTTATCATAAGGAAACTGAATGAAATGGGCTAAGCTATATGTCCAGACACATCTAAATGCAAAAAAAAAAAAAAAAAAAAATAATTTCAACATTCCAACATCTTCAGCATCTGCTACTGGTGCATGATTAAAACTGATGCTTGAATTTTTATATATCTCTCCCCTTCCTTCACATATAATTCCATCAACAAAAAAATTACTTTAGTCTGATGAATTCCTTCTAGAGAACAAAATGTGTTACATAAAATTTTTTTCCACTTGGTCATTAATTTTCATTGTTCTGATATGTAAAAATTTATATTTATTTAATTTATATATACATAATTTATCACCCCATTAAATGATTACTACAAATATAAGTATAAATAATTGTGTGTTCCTATTCTGTTGTGTTCCTTTTTATGCTAATGACCTTGAGAAAGGCATGAATCCATTTCTTATCTCCACCAATAGCAAGTTAGACTGGGCTCTCCAGCCTTAGGTGGCAGCAGTCTAGAAACACAGTTCAGAATCCCAAACTGTGAAGAAGGTAACAAGAAATCACTTCACTATCTTTTCCAAGAAATCATGGTAATTCACAGCTAATAAAGAAAAGGAAACTGTGGAGAGACATGATCACCTATGTCCAAAAGGGATAGGGTATTTTTTTTTTTAAAATGGAGTAAAATAGTTTGGCCATGGATGGTGAACAAACAAATAAAATACACTCAATATATAGATTATTTTTGGTGTTCTTGAATTAACATAATATACCTGTTATTGGTGATAATGTGAATTTAAGTGCCATATTATAGTCTTGTTTCTTTTTCTCTATTTTGTCTTTTCAATGAAATAAAAAAAAATTTAACAAAAACATTTTTCTTGAAAACATACTCTTGTTCTGAAAGAATCTGTTCCCAAGCAATGTTTCTATATCACATTTGTTTAAAGCACATATGTTTATGTTAGTTCTACCACTTTAAATGAATTATTACTTTATACAGATTCCAAATGTTAACAGACAAAGAATATAAAAATCTCACCAAGATTTAAACCTTGAAGACGATCTGAAAGGTCAACTTCATCCTCTAGAAAAAGAAACAAAATAATTTAATTTAACAAAGGAATTTTCTAGTATATTTTTCATTTAAAAAGTTGATTAATTACTAAGTTGAATTAAACATAGTTATATACATCAGTGTTTACAAGTTGTAAAAAGTAGTGTTGAATTTTGTGCAAGGTAAAAAGAACAAAATTTTATACATTTGTACTAAATGTATAACATTGATTTTGCTTCATTAAAATTAAGTCTATGACAAATTCTTCAGAATAAAAACTATGAAATCAGTCATCTTTAATTTAGTTTCTCATTATTTCAATATTTATATTGATGTATGGATGTTTATTAAAATGTAATCAAAAAATAAATTGGAATATTGGAATTGTTTCTCTGAACAAATGTGAGTGTAGCTCAGTGGCAGAGCTGATGAAAAAGCAATTGAATCCATAGATATTCTGATATTGATGTGAAATGAAAGTTAAGAAACCAATAAAATTTGCCACATTTGCATTTTAAGCAAATAATGATAATTAATAATAATCATCAGAATTAACATTTTTTTCTTAATGCAGAATAAATTTTATTAACTAAACAAAATCAAATTCAATCTTAACAGAATTCAAGTATAAGAACATTAATTTCACATACCTTCATCATCATCATCAGAGTCAAGGTATCCATCATCATCTTCTTGAATCCTTTTGAGAGTTTCAACCATTTTATGCCTTTCTTCAGGACTTAAATACAAGAGAGAAAATCTAATTTTTGTGTTGTGTTTAAATATATACAAATATAAGCCAAGTAAGCTACCTATGATAAAACCAGTGTTTCTGTACAAATGAATTATTAAATGCAAATTAAATTTTTGCTTTTAAAGATTTTTTTTTCAATAATACTGATGAAAATGAAGTTCAGATTTAAAATTTTGCTAACAAAGATTACCAGTAATGTAATCAGCTTCTAACATTAGCTATCTTCATCAGTTTAAATTGAAATTTTATTTTATTTTCTTTGTATGAAACATTTCTTCTGGCATCTTAAAATTGGCAGCTCATTTTTTTTTACATGTTTTTGGTATTACAGTTATAATTTCATCATCTTCAAAAGTTATGAGATTTGCTCAATGTTCTCATCTCACTGTATCAGTTCCTGAGAAAAAATAAACAAATGCCATATAAAAGTTAAAAAAAAATTATATAAAATATAAGTGCTGTTAAACAAGGTAATCTGCAAATTACTACTATTCTATCTGATGAAAAATGTTCAACCAATACATTTACCTTAATATAAAATTAATTTACTAATTAAAATAAAAATTGTATGATTTCTGCATAAAAAATGAAGATTTACATTAGGGCAGAGATACAATCCAAACTAGTTCCTGCAAAATATCTTATTTTCCAAAAGGTTATTCTCATTATTTACCTGGCCATATAATCAGAAAGTCCTTCCATCACACAGTTCTTATAGAATGATTCTGAACACTGTAGATGCTTTTCACTTTTATAACATTGAACAGAACAGTAATTAGAATTGCATCTTGGACATGTGTACTTGGACACATGGAGGAGGCAGCTGAAAAAGTGAAATTATAAAATCATTTATCAACAGTTGCTTGGGTAATATTTGACTTCTTTACAGAATAAATACATTTTATGTATGACACCTTTGCTGACACTAAACACCTATCAGAACAAACATATCAAGAGATATACTAAGAACTTAAGTTTCATATTTACACTAGCTTCACACTACAGCAAAATTTCATAAATGTAATGGATTCATCTTTAGCAAAACAACTCTTGTTGATTCTACTTTATGAATTTTCCTCTCCAAGTTAAATTATGGTTAAAAAGATTCATTTCACAGATTCCAAGGAAATATATAAAAAAATGTTCTAAAAGGAAAATTTAATTAAATATTAGCTATCATAAGATTATAAAAAAAATCAACTTATATACATTTCATTCTTTCTGTATGAACTTTCCATTTGTCCTAAATGTAAGACTGAAGAAAAAGCAACTATGAATTGAGTAGATATACTATGTATAGGTATTTACAAATATATGAATGTACTGAATGCTAAGGAAATAGTAAAATTGTGTTGCACCAAGGATTCAAATGAGAAGATCTTGCCTGCTTCAAAAATCAACATTTCAAATCAAGGATCTTAAATTCCTACTTACTTTGTTGTTTTTTTTTTGCATTAACAGTAATGGTAATATTAGCTGTTTCCTGATAAGGAAACATTTAGCATTCATTGACTGAGCAGTCAATACCACTTTTGGTTGAAATTTATAAAATCTTCCTCTTAAAACAATTTTTCAGGAAAATAGTTTTCTCCCTTTCCAATATTGATGGGAGCTTCTTTCCTAATCTTTAAAGTAGTGTGAAATGTCAACATCTTCATTATGTCATTATTTTCTCTTTGAGCTACATGTGATATCCATTTTAATTGTTGCTATTGTTTAAAGTCCTCAAATGTTGTTTGTTACTTGATAGTTATTTGTTGGTAATTCTGTAGTACCAGTCCACAAGGTTTAAAGGTTTAATTTGCTCAAAGACATTTTTAACCATTGATCTGAGAAAGTGGTTGTATGCATCTGATATATTTCTATATTTAGATATTTCTGAATGAGTTTGGTGCCATGTATGCCATCGATATGAAAGTCTCAATCTGACAAGGCTATTTTAAGAACATGACTCAAGTTTTCAGGTTAATGTTTTGGTTTTGTAACAATTTAGAAATTTGTAGAAAGGTTTATTTGAGTCCTATTTTTTGGAAGACTTGGTAGAGAATGATTTTTTATTCAGGATTATTCTTATCCCAACTATAAATACCTGTATCATCAGCATAGTCCCCCACCCCTCATCATCAGTACATTGGCCTCAGGAGGGAAAGCAGGATTATTGTCTTCTATTAGTAGATTTGTTTGGAAATGTACTATGGACTGCTTAAATGATTGGTGCCTTCACATCAGTGCTTGTAAATACACAGGGCATAGCCTAAGAAAAGATTAAATAGACTGGGGCTCTCATTTCCTCATTGTTGTACTCCTGATAAGGTTTGAAATGTTTCTATATTAGTACTTTTAACATGATTGCTCCAACTGAGATAACTCTGTATGTGTGTGAGTCTTGAGGACTACCTTTTTGTTTTCATAGTGCATTAATCTGTGATAAACTCCACTTTTTTGCGAATCTGATTCCATACTTCCTTCATGATATTGAGAAACTTGTTATTTAATTCAGGAAAAAGGTAAGCTATTTTCAAAAGTTCAGTCTCAATGTCAAGTGATGTTTTATCACTTAGTTTTTTTTTTTAATAGATTTCTTAATTTCTTCATCAGCAGGTTCATTATTATGTTTGGAGACAGACTGTGTAATGATTGGATCTATATTGGTACATGTTCTATCAGGGCCGGTGCTAGGGTCTCGTCCCCACCCTGAAACACTGATATGGGGCACCCCTCACTATTACCTGTCGATTTCAAAGTTTACCAACCTGGGGGGATCACAAACTAGAAGGAAAATTGGGCGGTGGGGAATAGCAGCACCTTTTTTTAAATTACCAAAAATTAGGCAATTATCTAATTTAAATGAAAATTACAGTACATATTCAGTAATTTACTTTTATAATGAATAGTTTTTTTATTTAAAAAAAAAATCTGAGAAAATGTTATTCTTTTTGTAATAACCATCAATATTTTGAGAAAAAATGTTTAAGTCACAAATTTTTATTTTTCCATAAATATTAATCACCAATGCATCTCTGCTGAAAAAAAAGTTTTACAAAGATTCTAACAAAACATAAATGGGATCATCTAAAAAATTTGTTTTAAAAACAGTATTTCAGTTTTCAGGAAAATCTTTCATGTGTTGAAATTTTTAAACATTTATATTTTTAAGCAATCATTTTTTTTGTTTTATCTTTCTAGAAATGTAAAAAAATAGGGACTAGAAATTTTATTTTAATTACTAGACATGGACTTCTGGTTAGTATTAGTAAAAAAAACAAAAAACTTAGAGATCCTCTTTAGTGGATGACCTTGGGATAAAAAATGATTTTACCAAGATATATTACCCTCTTAATTGATTTAAAAGAACTGTTCAAAAAGAAAAGTACAATTTAAAAAAATAAGCACAACTGAAATCAGCACTTCTACCCCCCACTCCTCAGTAAGCATAGCCAGCCCCATAACGTGCTTGAGAGGTTTGGTGAAGAAGGCACCGGCCCAGTCAATTATTATAGTTGATGAGTGACAATATAACTTAGGTAGAAAAAAAAGTAAAAAGTACAGAAAAAACAAAAAACGCTGCTAAACTAGCCCTTTTGGACCTCCAACTTTGTCGCGGGTTTTTGCATAGTACGTACCACACAGGCCATATAGATACACAATGTATATTATTAATTGATGACTGACAATGTAACATCAGTTTAAAAATAATTTAAAAAAATTGACAGATGGCCATAAAACAGTGCCGAAAAAAATGGCAGAAGCTACAACAGAGCTCAAAAATAACACCTTCTATGCAGGCATCCTGGATTCTATTTCTGCAGGTATCTTTAATTTATTGTGGTCAAGATTGAAAAAAATGTAACTGAAAGTGTTTTGAGACCAGGTTATTTTTTTGGGGGGTCATTTTGATTGTTATTGTGATGTTTTTCTCCACATTACATTGCTGATTGGCTTTATTCATTTAGTTTCCAATTTTTCAGAGATATTGGTTTTTCAAAGTGTCAACTATTTTTTTTCATTTTTTTTTTTTTGTTTAGTATTTTTCCTTCAATTTTGCTTCTTTTGTATGTTTATTCCCCCGTATCAACTTTTTCAACTCACAATTGACATCCCATGAGAGTATCTCTTTTCTTCTAGGTATTCTTGGAAATGTTTTTACGCACTTCACTTAACATTATAACATTCCTCTATATTGTTTTGATCACGATTTAGGGACATCAATTTGGAGTCTAGTCTATCACAGAATTCTAATCTTACTCTTTCATTTTTAAGTGTTCTTTGTGGTTTATGAGTGAAAGTGAACTATTTTGTTGGTTCATGTTGCCAGTAGTTACAAGTAGTCTGTGATCAGATTCAAAGTAAGAGTTGTATACCCTAACTAACACAAACTGCCTTAGCCAAAAGTCTTGGAAAAGCCATGAAAAGATATTTTTAATAGCAGGGTAAACTGGGCTCTCTAGCCTTGGATGGCAACCAATTTAAGAGAAGGAAAACTCAATTCTAAAATTTGGAGAAGGCAACAGGAAACCACTCCAATATCTTAAGAAGTCATGGCAAAAGAGTCATTATCGCCTACGTCCTGAAGAATCACAGCATTTAAAATTTACTTACTAGCACAATAGATCAATACACAACTTTCAACTATCTGAGACACCTGCATAGTAACTTAGTGCCACAGGAAAATAATTCGTTCCATAGCAATTAAATTTCTGTTACTTTCAGTGTCTTAATTAATAATGCCTTGTGTTTGCTCGATGTATTGTTGTTAGTTTCATTTTGATTTGTTTATTTTAAGAACAAAACATCACGAAGATATCTTTTTTTTTAAGGAGTCATTTAATCATTAGAATTCCAAAAAATTGTTCAAACTAAAGCTCATTCTTTGTGCTGCCTTTTAGTGGATCGAGTCATTCTCCCAAAAAACTGAAGAATGGATCAATTGAAAATGAAATGTCACGTTAATATTAACAACAAACAAAAAAAAGTAAAGACGTGAAGAACTCATTCTTGGAATTTCAGCAATTCGAACAATTCTTGGAATAATTGGGAAGAAAAACAAGTGTGCCTATCTCAGTTAGAACCTGTAACGAACCCCAACATTTTCTTGTTTAGTGTTTTAATATCTTATGATGTCTAAAAAAAGTTTTAAAATTTTTAATATAATTTTATAAAACGTAAACACTGAAACTGAAAAGAAATTCCTCCGAGTACTTCTCTGTTAGTTGTAGAATAAAAACTTAAAAGTAATCCGGTCGACCAAATCTGTGATATTGAGAATGACGCTTGTTTACCATAACTCACTTCAGAAAAGAAAAGCATAATTTCAAATTTAATTTACTTACTCAAACTCAAACAAAAATTCATATTTCGCATTAAGACGTATGCTTGCAGTAAGTATCGAATATTTGCTTTAAAAACCAAAAACTTAAAGTGAAAGAAAAACAAATTTTCCTTAAAATAAAACTTTACAAAAAAGTGATGGGCATATCGAAGTCAATAAAAAAGATTTTCTGCTATTTATGTAGCGTTTACCATGTTTGTGTTGATAGATTTCTCGTGAATGATTGTTTACTTTCAAAAATAATGTTTATTGTTTTCCGTGAGTAAAAATGCTCTTCTTAGTGAGTCTTACACATCTTCTTTGGTGATAGATATGATAATGTCCCACAGGATAAACTCATTTTTTTTAATACACATAAAAAGTAAAACATATCATAACATAGTACGGAGAAAATCTTGATCATTAAACTTTAGAAATTAATGTGCTATTTGTTTTTAACTTTAACACGTGTTCGTTCTTGAGTTCTGTTTCAAAAATCATGTTTCAAGTCGAAGGAGATTTTTATTCTGGAAATAAACATTGCAAGAATAAATTTAAACAATACTAACACTTAAAGTGAAAAGAAAAACTTACAAAACACATGGTACATTTTTGTCATTTATATGTGGACGAACTTCCTCGTCAGAATTGATAGTATCCATGTCGGAAAATGAATGCAGAAATTTGTGTAAGAAAAGTAACTCTTGTTAAATAATTGTCTCCCTTGGAATCAGATAATCAACTTCGTTTCTGTCTCCACTTTTTTCCTTTGATGGTTAATAATTTTTTATTAAAACTTTTCTTGTTGTTACATTTACAATTTTTTGAGTTTTTTGGATGGAAAGTGATTCAAATTGTTAGTATTTTTCGAAATTGGAAAGCTCGTGTTTTTATTTTGTTTTATTTTTTCTTCCTTTTAAACTATATTTTAAAAGTACAATTCCCATTTTTTATTATAATTTTGTTGTGAAATGGTGTACAAACTATTATTTCATAAAATTTAATAAATTCCACAGTCAAGATTTGCAAAGCCAGACCGTGTGTGTAATTACATGTTGTATTAGAAACACATGTGTAACTCATGGTAGAATATTAAAAGGTCCAACTACAAGAAAATTGCCGGACTCAAGTTAAGTCCAACTGAAGATAAAGAAGACAAACAATAACAAACAAGATCGATATATATATAAACAAATATATGTATTAAACAAAATAATTTTACAATGGACATAGACAGTTAACATTGTGTTTGTGTGTGAACATTTGTGTTTGTTCTTTGGTGAATGTTCGTATTTTAGTGAATGTTCGTACGTACATGCATGTTTGTAATGTTCATAGCATCTTCCCAGAAATGGGAAACGCTGTCTTTTGTGAGTAGTAGAGGTGTTTGCTGAAATGAAGAAAGAAGAGAAAGAATTACCTCACCTCCATGCGAGGTGGGATGCGGCACGAGGCCTGAGGGAAAAGGAAAAAGAGATCGAGGCAAGAAGTCCCCCAGTATTTATAGTATGGGGAGAGAGACCCCTAGTGACAATTTGGGAATTAAGGAGGAGGTAACTCCGACAATATTAATAGATGATTCAAAAACGTTTTTACTTTGGGGTTGCAAAAATGTTTGAATTAATATAAATATACATATGAAATCTTATCCTAATAAAAATCTCATTTTATGCTCTTTAAACAATCTTTAGAATATAAAAAGGCAACATTGTATATATTTAATAATGTACTAAATTTAACAAGTTGATATCTCATGGAATGGAAAATATTGTAATAAAATGTTACTGTAAGGAACTTAAGGACATAGTTCAGTACAAGTTTCAGTAAGTTTTATTTAATTAAAGCTAAATTAAACAAGATGTATGGTGGCATGGGGGTTAAAATGAACAACTGATTTACCCACACCAAGAAGATTAATGAAGGGTGATAATGACAAAGAAATACACAGGTAATTTTAACAAAACAAGAAATTTATTCACAAATTTACATGTTGAAGTAGTGTCAGTAGCTCATTTCAGGAAAATAAATCAGAATTCTAAAAGTCTGTAGTATTAATATATTTTCATGAAGAGGAAGTTTTCAAACAAAAGAAATGATCTAAGGTAAATGTAAAAGAATTTGTTAGTTATCAAAGGGATATATATTTTACATATGTTCAAAAGTAGACAAATTGAGGTTGAAATACTTAGCTTTCTTGACTAATTGAGCGAAAAATTCTTTGAAGTGCTGCATGATAGTTTGATAATGTAATTGATGAGTAATTTAACACTGGCAAGCACTTCAATGCTGGTCACAAGGAATTGAAGCAAAACCTTTCACATGACTTCAAACACTCCTCTGATTAATTTTTCTCCTCATTTTATATCAAAATGAATTTTTTTAGACTTGCTACTTTCTTTCCTTTTCCTTCTTGGCTCACTTGTTAATTTCTGTGAAGGCAAGGTTTTCATTGGTCCAAAAACAATTTCACATAGTCTTGCAAATGTCTTTCCTCCTCTTCCTCCTACTTGGCTCCTCAGTTAATTTTTGTGAAAGACAAGGAATTCATTGGTTCAAAATAATTTCACATAGGCTCTTAAATTTCTTTCCTTCTTCTCAGCTCATTAGTTCATTTCTATGAAAGACAAAAATCTCACATAAGCTCATGATTTTCTTTCCTTCTTCCTGTTACATCCTTCCTAAAACAAGATCATCTTCTGATTCATGCTACACTAATTTCAACTGCTAGCCAGATGTGAATACTCTGAAACCCAAGACTGAACTAAAATTCCATCAACTGTGCATAGTCTCTGCACATAGTTTGTTTTTACTCACACACTCAAAGAAAATACAATCCAGAATTTTCACCCAATAGCACCCACTTTTGCCTAAAGAAACAAAATAAAAATTGGAGCCAATCTGAGCCTAAGAAAAGAGCATAAAAGCCTATCAAAGGGATAACTTTGGCAGTTGGACGGGATAACTGTCTGGATTCACAATGCTCGTTGGAACACAACCTCCCATCTCCAAAAGGCAACTCGCCAAAGTTCATCACCACAATAAGTCACAACTCAACCTCCTTCTACCATCTCCTCTGTAGATGACTTTTACAATTCCACTTTTTTCAATGAGAGACATGTATACCAATTTACCATTTGTTGTATTTTATGTTAATACAATTGCTTATTTCTTATATCTCATTGTTTTTTCTTTGTTCTGCCACCATATGCTTGATATAGCATTCCTCAGTCCTCTGACTTTGAAGGGACTGAGTGAAAGGAGTTATTATTTTGCATTTACTACAGATGAAAGAATTAATGAAAAAATAGAATCAAATTTCCTAATCTCTATAAATTCTTAAAAAACTACACAACTTGTTATATAGAATTTCTGGAATAAGGTGTTATTATTATTTATATTATTCACATTTGGACTAATGTCTTCATCTTTGTTGTTGTTATCCCAACTTGAAGAACGTGAAGCCTTGAACCTCCAGGAAATCTAGTTTATTAAGGCATTGGCTTGTGAATTTGATGACATAGTAACTGTGAGTTCAATCTCTTGGTTGGATAGTGTAGTCTTAGACTCGGTGAAAACATGGTGAGCAATAATTGAGCAGCAGTAAATAAGATTGTGTCAATAAGAGCAATCTATTACTGCAAATTAAATAAATGATTCAGTCTGAAATTCCCTCAAGATGACTGGAGGGTGCAACAGCTGAAACATTGTGATAATGATAACAAAGATGAGGATATTAGTCCTAATGAAAATATTGTTTGTTACACAGAATCAAAATTATGAATAAATTTTTGTCAACAAGTAAATTAATATGGTGTAAATATTGCTTTATTTCATTTTATTTCTTGTAATATTTATCCTTTTATAAGAATTTATTTATTTTTAGAAATATTCTGCATGTTAGTCATTAACTTGGGCTTTAATATATCCAGCTAGCAAAATAACATTACTACAGTATTTCTGTTATAATATATAGAAGTTTTTTTATATACTCTCCACAAAATGCCTGCAACATTACTTTGCAACATTGTAAATATGTTGCATTGTAACATTATATTAGCTGAAAATTGATGATTAATCCCAGGAAGATATTAGAATGCGCATTCATCATCTAAATTAGTGATTCTCAATGATAAAAATATTAAAAAAATTTTGTCACTTCTATACATATTGTTAAGTGAAGAAAAACTATTCTGATGATAGAATTAACTTGTGCAGAATTTTTCAGCTACAGCACATTGTAACTTTACCATAATATTCAGATAATGTTGGGTATAAGCTATCAATCTGGGTCCAGGAAGATAGTTGATTGCAACATTACAGTAACATTACTATAATGTCACATGTCTCCAGCATAGATTGCAGCCTAGGGCCCTTAAACTTTTATAAAGCAATAATTTTCTAGATGTTATAAGTTCTAAATAGTTTCATAAATGATATGAATATGACAAACTCACAGGCAAAGAATTAGTTTGTGTCATTGTTTTTCAACATGTTTGATTTTAGTTCAAAATGTTTAAATCTTAGAAATTTTTATAAAGCAGTGATTTTAATTTTCTAGATGTTATAACTTATAAAGTTTCATAAACTGAAATGATATCAGAATGATAAACTCCACTTGCTTCTACATACACCTGCACCCATCAGATCATTGACTGGTGTACTCTTTCAAATACTCCCACACAGTGTCAAATTGTTTCACAGACTCCCATGACACATTGATGAAGTGTCTCTGCATTATTAATGTTTGCTGTATAAACCAATTGTTTTAGGTGGACCCACAAATAAAAATTCAAAGGATTGAGGTTGGGGGAACATGCAGGCCATGAAACCAGTCCTCCCCTACATATCCATTTCTCATAGTAGATGTCAGCCAGTGCATCACGAACAATGGGACTAAAATGTGCTGTAGCTCCATCATGCATGAACCACATGTGTCTTTGTATTAGCAGGGGTACATCCTCTAGCAGGTCTGGAAGTGTATTTGAAATCAAGTCCCTGTAGACAGCTCCTGTAAGACATGCTGGGAGAACACATGGACCTACCAGACAGTCACCTACAATTTCATCTCGCACATTAATTATAAACTAATTATAAATTAATTATAAACTGCTGCTGCTGTCTAGTCTGTATTGTACCATGGGGATTCCAATCCACCCACAAATATTGTTTTTGTAAATTTGTTATTCTATCTCTTCCAAATGTTGCTTCATCTGTAAACAAGGCTAAAGAGACAAACAATGTATCAGCAGTTTGAGTAATAAACAATCAGCAAATGTTCTCTTGTGCTGAGTGATTAGAGGACGAAAGACCTTACAAATGCAAATGATACAGATACAGGTGCTGCTCTTGAAATAGCCCTCATGTGGTACTATGAGATGTACAACATGCTAGGGCCACTTGACTTGTGCTGATACCTGGACTGTCTCCAACAGTCTGTAGAATGTGTTCTTTGTGGTCAGGTGTACAAGCAGATCTTGGTCTTCCTCGATCCATAGTTTGTGGTGCCACGGATCCTGTCTCAGCTATGCAATGATAAACAGCAGCAAAGGTTGGATGACTTGGCTGCCTTCATTCTGAAAATGCAATCTTATACAGCCGTGTAGTCTTGCGTCTATTACCATGCATGTGGCCGTATATAAAAATCATATCTGCCTACTGACAA